CCAAGCTCCGTCGCCTTGGAGCACACCGCGGCCATGTGCGTCTGACCTGCAGGGCAGCGGCACAAGACCCCAAAACCCCATGAACCGTCTGAACCCCTGTAAACCATGCAAACCCCTATAAACCAATATGAACCCTGTAAGCCCTGTGAACCCTACTTGAGACTAGGGCTACGAAAGCTAGAAATGCGGCTGACAAGCAAGCTTTTTTCGAGTCAGGCACAGCTGCTAGAGTAGGAAGGCTTAGGGTTTAGGGTTTAGCCACTTATGTTTCGCTCTATGGCTCGATCATGATCTACACTGATGGCTCGAGCTGCACCAGACCCAATCGGATCTCACAAAGCAACGCTGCAAACTCTGAACTGTAAGCAAAACGAAACATGATGGGACACGCAGCGGTCGCACTAAGAGCTGTCGGAAGCTGCGGATTCGAACGCTCATCCCGGGCCTTACAGCTCGACAGCAGGGCCTGATTGAAACGGAGGGGGAAGCCTGAAAAGGAGGGGGGGGGGGCCAAAAGGAGGGGGGGGGGCCCCCCCCCCCCCCCCCCCAGAAATCAATTTAAGGCGACCCTGAAAAGGAAGGGGGGGGGGGGGGACGTAAGATGGACACTTAAAGGCTATGCTGCACGTGCGTGCCTTGTAAACAAATACTTTACAAAGGAAACACCCGCAGAATAGACGCAACGCACCCGCAGAATAGACGCAATGCACCCTTAGCATCAGCACACTGTGTCCTGGACGAGAAAGGCGCGGAGGGCGCGGAGGGCGCGGAGGGCGCGGAGGGCGCGGAAGGCGCGGAGGGCGCGGAGGGCGCGGAGGGCGCGGAGGGCGCGGAGGGCGCGGGGGCGGAGGGCGCGGAGGGCGCGGAGGGCGCGGAGGGCGCGGAGGGCGCGGAGGGCGCGGAGGGCGGAGGGCGCGGAGGGCGCGGAGGCGCGCGAGGGCGCGGAGGCGCGGGCGCGGAGGGTGCGGAGGGCGGGAGGGCGCGGAGGCGCAGAGGGGCGGGAGGGCGCGGAGGGCAGAGGGCGCGGAGGGCGCGGAGGGCGGAGGGCGCGGAGGGCGCGGAGGGCGCGGAGCGTGCGGAGCGCGCGGAGGGCGCGGAGGGGGGGGGAAGGCGCGGAGGGCGGCGCGGAGGGCGCGGAGGGCGCGGAGGGCGCGGAGGGCGCGGAGGTCGCGGAGGAGGGCGCGGAGGGCGCGGAGGGCGCGGGGGCGCGCGGAGGGCGCGGAGGGCGCGGAGGTCTCGGAGGGCGCGGAGGTCGCGGAGGGGCGGAGGGTGCGGAGGGCTTGCAAACGCGGAGGGCACGGAGGAGCATCCACGTGTCCCCACTCCCTGCCCATCAACCCAATATCACGTTCCCCGCCACGCCCCTCTCCCAGCAAAATGTTCCGAACCCCCTCCCTTGACCGTGTCGTCCCCGCGGCCTCACGTCAAAACTCCTCCAAGAAGCGATCCGATAGAACGCCTCAAACGAGAACCCAATTTCAGAATTTGTTTCGGGAAGAATCCAAGAAAACAAAGAGCACGCGCAGAATAGACGTTAAGCGTCCAAGGCACGGGGGGGGGGGACACCTTAAGATTGATTTTATCAATCCTATAAGGGGGGGGAGGGGGGGGGCCCCCCCCCCCCTCCACAGCCCTTTATCTCTCTGATTTTCAGACCACTTAAGGGTCGGGGTCGCTTTTTGACCCAGCTGAACACTAGAGAGAATTCTTGTAAACGACAACTCTCGCGAGCTCCAAGGAGCTAGCTTTCGTGACAAGCCCTCTAAACTGACCCTACACTCCATGAAGCCTAATAAACCCAAATCCATTGTCAGAAAAAATAAGGATTGAGTACGCTGATTTAGGCTGATATCACCAGCACGTTAAGCATCCCGGTGTTCAACGTTGACCTCGTGACCACCAGACAGCTGTACAGACTTCATGCCTGCATTGTTCATCTTGGTCCACACCCCACTTCCGGGCACTACAGAGCTGTTCTTATGAGTGAAGACAGACGATATTACACTGACGATCATGCCACTGCAAAACCTCTTCTTCAGAAGGATGCTGTACAGCTTTCACTCAATGTGTACATCCTGATATATTCCAAGGCCTGCTTCACAGATGCGTCTAGCTGAGTTACGGCCCTGCATGCACATGTGGCTTTTGGAAAGGGACGCCTTTCCTCTTGCCGTTTACATGTCGCATGTCACTGTCGCGCGCTGACGAGCGAAAGTGCAGTGCTATGGGTGTCGGACTCCTTTCTTTTCACTCGTTTTCCGTGGTTGGCCTGCTTGGGCATTCGTGCCGGGACCACAAGTCTTTTGTAGTTAGGAGCTTAGCTCGCTGCTCTCATGCAGCCGGACCACAGTGTCTGCTTCGGACTCGCTAGGCGCCAGACATGGCATTGCGCTGCAAAGCAAAAAAACTCCGTACGCAGTACTCCTCTCCCTCCCACCGTGGTCTCGTGCACCACCACCGGCCTTTCTGAAAGATGCCCAGGATCGCGCGCAAGAGCTCATCCTCCGCACCAGAGAGGTTGGAGTCTTGAGTAGGGAGAACTTCCCCCCCCCCCCCCAGAAAAAAAAAACAAACAAACAAACCCCTGACCCTAAACCTCAAACTCGGATTTTGGATTTATGGGCTTCGGGCTTTTGTCACCCGAAGCATCAAGCTAGGGCAAGGGATTTACAAAGGGCAACCCGAAGCCATAAACCCTAAACCCTAAACCCTAAACCCTAAACCTTAAACCCTGCAAGAATAGCCTTGACGAGAAGGCTTTGGCTCTGCGGAGAGATGGGCCAGGCAGCCTCCAGCCTGCCAGGGATCTTGGAAGCCACAAACCCGGCCCCCAGAGCGCGCTCTAAGGGTTCTAGAATTTTCGGGGATTTCGGGATTGAGGGGGTTTGTGGTTTGGGGGTTTTTCGATTTTGGGGGCTTCCAGGGGGTCTAGGAATCAGGGCCTCCGACTCATCGTGTAGCAACTCAAGCATCTGGGCCTGGGGTGTCTTGGGTTCTTCTGGGCGTTTTGTGTCGGGTTGAGGGCTCAGAGTTCCAGGTTTACGGCGCAGGTTGGACGCCTCAAACACACCCTGGACCGCAAAAGCCCACGAGGGCCCCCTAGAACCGCTATGAACCCCAAAGCGCCTCAAACCCTCACCCGAGCCCCCTACACCGCCTCGGCACGCGGAGCTTCTCAACGAGAAGCACACGGGGCTTTCCCGCCTGCCCGTGCACCTTTCGAGTTGAGGCTTTAGGGTTCATAGGGTTTAGGGTTTAGGGGTTTAGGGTTTAGGGTTTCGGGTTTCGGGTTTAGGACTCGGGTTGTGGGTTTAGAGGGCTTTACGGAACCTGCTTCGAAGCGGGGAGGCCATCCCGATTTAAGGCTTTAGGGTTTAGAGCGGGCTTTCGTGGACAAGATCTCCATGTCGAGGTGGGAAGCACTTACAGAACTTGCAGTGGAACAGACAGGGCAACCATCGGCTTTTGCTACTCCACGTTCTTGGGCTGGATTCTGTCAACGATCGAAAACATTGACGTCATGGGCAGAAATCGGCAGAAATGTCAGAATTGAATCAAGCAACTAAAGCAACTAAGCTTGGCACTTCGCTCCAGCTGTACTTCGTTTTGCGGTCGGGCACCAACCGCCTCAGCTTGCACAGCTTTGCGAGCTCAGAGCTTTCGGCCGCATGTCGGGCAAAAGCGGGCGAGAGGGATGCCAAAAGCACCTACTGACGCTGCCCTGGCCAGGCAGGCGAGCCGAACAAACACAAAGATTGCAAGAATCACGAGATCGACTTGCTCTACTCAACTAGGCCTGGGTAGGCGAGTAGGCTAGCAAAGCGCAGTTATCCTGACACGGTACTATTGTTCGACTGCAGGCTCAGGTAGGTTGCGGGCTGTGCATGGCAGTGCATGGCTGTGCTGCGCTGCGGCTCAGCGGCTCAGCGCCCTTCGCGCTGGAAGCAGCAGGACAGTACGCCGCCGAGCCACTCCGCCCACATCGCCAAGTCGGAGTCGGACGTGCCTGTGGGGGTCTCGGTCTGCTCGGTCTGCTCCCGGGTTGTTGACTCTGTCGACTCTGTCGCGCCATCCACCGCGGTCGAAGACGCGGCCTGGGGATCCGAAGGGGCCGCGAGCTCGGCTCGCAAGGCTTTCTCCGACGCCTTCCACCGCTGCCCAGCCTTCTTGAGCTCAACCAGCGCGTCCGCACGCTCCAGGCCTTGGTGCTCGGCGAACTCCGCAACCAGGTCGCGTGGCCCGCCCTCCAGGAGGGTCGGGTTCAGCTCCAAAGGCGGGGGACCCCTGCGCCGCATGGCAGCGATGGCAGCGACAGCGAGTTACGTCAATATCGTGGGCTTTTTGCAATGTCTGCATGGAGGTGCTGACGCTTGTACTGTGCATGGCATGGCCAGTGGGTATGTCTTCGACTTGTATCAACCCTTGAATCCCTTGATGACGGGCGATATCCGGTTGTGCGTTTTGTTTCTCGCCCCCCATGGTATTCCCCCGAAAACCCTAAAACCCGAAGCCCTAAAACCCTCAAACCCTGAACCTTAAAACCCTAAACCCGAAAACCGTAAAACCCTAAACCCCCCAAAGCCCTAAGGCCTAAGCCCTACAAACCCTCAAGCCCGAAAACCCTAAACCCTAACCCTAAAACCCTTGGAGCCCTCAACCCCGATAAAGCCCTAAGGCCTGAACCCTAAAACCCCTCAAGCTCCAAAACCTCCGGTGCGTGAATGCTGGTGCATGGTGCAGGTATGGTCTGACATGCTGTAAATCTTGTTTGGAAACGACCTCGTATCCATGCAGAAAACAAAAACAACTGTGATAAAAAAGATGAATTTCAGGCCTGGTTGCACTAAGAAACCTCAACCATGAATGATGTTGCGAATCGACAAGAGAACGTAAGGCGGTTGGGGCTGATCAGCTCTAGCTAGCACGATCCAACTACAATGTACTGCGACAAAGGAACAAAACATGCTGTAAAGTCTGCGAGAGAAACCATTCGGCCCAGCCTAGTCGCTTCAGTCCGACCGTGCGCACATCCTCGGAAGATAAATGCACGTAGACCGCCATACGTGCATCAGGTTTCCGGAAAGTGGTGTCAAGTCTTTGCACACGCCAACTATCCAGATCTCCTTCCTACCATGGCACTGAGCCTCCAGCAACAAACATTTTCGTGCGCGTCGGTGCGCCGGAAGTGCGCTCGAAGTTCTTGCAGATTTTGCCTCAGTCGTTGGCATAAGCTACGAAGCTGACTGTCCTCAACATGTGCAGCTGCTACATTCCGGGGAAGCTGCTTACGGTCTCCTGCACGACGATGTCGAGGTCTCCTACCAAGGGGCTGGCATTCCGTGATATTTTCTTCTAGTCCTCTTGCCAAAAACTTCGTACAAAGATGTACGAATGAATAAAAAGCGCAGTAGATAAAGCTAGGGCAATCATACATAATAATAGCAAACAACAAAAAACTCTGAATCGACCAAACCAATAACAAAGGAATCACCGACGGAGCAACGTGCTTGCCCAGAACACTGTCTGTGTGCGCATGTGTGTGTGTGTGTGCGCATGTGTGTGTCTGTGTGTCTGTGTGTATGTGTGTCTGTGTGTCTGTGTGTCTGTGCGTCTGTGCGTCTGTGCGTCTGTGCGTCTGTGCGTCTGTGCGTCTGTCTGTCTGTGTGTCTGTGTGTCTGTGCGTCTGTGTGTCTGTGCATCTGTGCGTCTGTGCGTCTGTGGGTCTGTGCGTCTGTGCGTCTGTGCGTCTGTGCGTCTGTGCGTCTGTGCGTCCGTGCGTCTTTGCGTCTGTGCGTCTGTGCGTCTGTGCGTCTGTGCGTCTGTGCGTCTGTGCGTCTGTGCGTCTGTGCGTCTGTGTGGCTGAATGGCTGTGTGGCCGTGTGTCCGTGTGTCCGTGTGTCCGTGTGTCGGTGTGTCTGTGTGTCTGTGTGTCTGTGTGTCTGTGTGTCTGTGTGTCTGTGTGTCTGTGTGTCTGTGTGTCCGTGTGTCGGTGTGTCGGTGTGTCTGTGTGTCGGTGTGTCGGTGTGTCGGTGTGTCTGTGTGTCTGTGTGTCTGTGTGTCTGTGTGTCTGTGTGTCTGTGTGTCTGTGTGTCTGTGTGTCTGTGTGTCTGTGTGTCTGTGTTTCTGTGTGTCTGTGTGTCTGTGTGTCTGTGTGTCTGTGTGTCTGTGTGTCTGTGTGTCTGTGTGTCTGTGTGTCTGTGTGTCTG